TTGAACACATTACGGACTTCACTGGATTCCATATTCAGAGACTACGGCAAACATGGCGAACATAGTTCTCTATCTCTTGACACTTTAATCACAAAAGATTTAATCACAAAAGACTGCTCGTCTTATAAAGCGTTAACTTTCAGAAATTACCGTTGGTTATGTAAAATAATGACTACAATGGACACCAAGTAAAATTCTCCTGAAACAAATGAAGACATTACGTTTTATTTTATTTTTCTGTAATTACAAGCCTCTACATTATGGCGGGTTGTGAGACGAGGTTGCTTATAATGTAGAGGTCTCCATTAGGGTCAATCGATTTTGAAACCGTGTTATTGCACGCAATTGAAAAGTTGTATTTTGACATGCAAAATTATGACAGAAAATCTATTTTTTCCAAATCCTTACCATGTTTTGAGGAAACGAGTTTGAAGATTAAGTTTAGGGTCAAAATTAGAGAGTTGGAATTTAATTCCAGTGATCAGTGAAAGCCTTATATCATAGGCTTATAGAATTTATAGTTTAGTGAAGGTTTACAAATTGTATATGGACAAGATGCATGGCACAAGTACATTATTTATTACTAAATGAGCGTGCCATTAAATAAGAAATTCATTTACTTCATTTGGAAATTATACTGAACAATTTAGCTATATTTTATAACATGTTATACAATGCAATAATATCTGACTAAGGCTTACTGCCATATCATATCGAAACATTGGTTCTTATATGTTCACTGAACTTAAGCAATGTCAAGCCTGGACATAGATATATAGATATAATGTGTGTATATATAAAATAGAGAAAAAATGGGGAGAAAATACATTCTTCAGTAAAAACTACAGACTTTCGACTATGAATTTAAATGTAATTGATGACATGTTTCTTTGAAAAAAACTGGTAATGGTTAACAAGTTTGTTACATCAGTTTGTCTTGTTTGTTGGACTGGGGTATTTTTCTTACGTTGGACGAAGATATATATTTATATGATAGGTTGTTCAAATATTATTGTCATCGCATGAAGACTTTTCGAACATTGTAATGAAAGTATTGTGTTGCATGCAACATTAAAGCAGGTCAGTTTTGGAAATATGGTATTGCACTCAATTTAAAAGTGTTGGCTTTGACATGATAAATAAAGAAACAAAATATCTTTTTTCAAATCGTCACCTTTTTTTTGAGGAAACGAGTTTAAAGATTAAGTTTAGGTTCAAAATCGTAGGGCTGGAATTTAATTCTGGTGATCAATGAAAGCCTTATAGCACGGCCTCATAAAATCTATAATTTACTGAAGCTTTATAAATTGTATCTGGACAAGATGCATGGCACAAGAACATTATTACTAAATCATTGTGCCATCAAATAAGACCTTCATTTACTTCAAAGAAGAATTATACTGAACACTTTAGCTATATGTTGTAACATGCTATACAGTGCAGTAGTTTTAGTGTGTATTTTCAATAAACAATGCAAATTTTAAACATTTTGTCTTTATGCCTAGCAGTATTATGGTTTTATATACTTATTTATATGTAAACATTTCTCAGAATTAACCTGTAGAAAAAAACAATATGTATAAAGGAAAAAGTCAATATGGAAACTGTATCAGCCGACGCGTTTCGTCCAATGTGAACATTTGCAAGGCAAAAAAAATGAATTTATTGAAACAAAATATCTACAGTGTAACCCGGATATAAGAGACCCGGATATAAGAGAAACCCGGATATAAGAGAGATTTTCTCTGGTCCCAAATTAGAGCCCATACTTACCTAAACAAATAGACCAAACCCGGATATAAGAGAAACCCGGATATAAGAGAGATTTTCTCTGGTCCCAAATTAGAGCCCATACTTACCTAAACAAAATAGACCAAACCCGGATATAAAAACTATAAGAGATTTTCTCTGGTCCCAAATTAAATACTTACAAAAAAATAGACGAAACCCGGATATAAGAGAAACCCGGATATAAGAGACTCCTCTCCGGTCCCGACAACTCTCTTACATCCGGGTTACACTGTATAAACAACAAATAAATTGTTGTTAGCAACTAGAAGAATTTAGAAAACGCTATTCTATAATGTTCAGTTGACCAAATAAATATACAACAGCGTTTTCTAACTTCTGAGTCTCTTATATCCGGGTTTGGTTTGTTTTGTTTAGGTAAGTATGGGCTCTAATTTGGGACCAGAGAAAATCTCTCTTATATCCGGGTTTCTCTTATATCCGGGTCTCTTATATCCGGTTTACACTGTAGATACTTTGTTTCAATAAATTCATTTTTTTTTTTTTGTTTTTTTTTGCCTTGAAAAAGTCCAAATTGGACGAAACGCATCGGCTAAATCAATAGTCTTCCTATTGTCTTTTTCTTTTACACATACATTTTTATCTATTTTTCTTTTCATTAATTAAGATTTAACAAATGATCGAACAAATCTTATTCATTAAGAAGACTTTTTTTGTAATCATTTACAATTTTTATTTTTCGCATCGCGAATACAGTAAAAAAAAAATTGCATATATTGCTAGGGGCGATTCATAATAAGAATTCTGGTTTGAATATATTATCCATTCAATGAATCTAATGTAAAAGATATCAAATTCATTTGGATTTATTCTTGGAATGGTAAAATTTTGAAGTCAGTTTGTACGCAAAACAGCTGCGGCAATGAGGTACTTCTGTACATCTTGCAGACGATCTCTAAAACTCAATGCTCAACTATTAACAAAGATTGTGAACCTGAGTTTAGTGTCAGTATTTATCACATCAAACCTCAGCATTCCCATCCCGTGCAATGAAGATATTCTGAAAAAGAAGTGAAAACATAAACCAGAAATTGTGTCCATACGCATATATGTGGGGGCTAAGGACAAAATTTTACAATCCACTTCACCATTTTCAGGCTGATGCCGATATTTTACCCCCAATCCGCTTATTTAAAACTTAACCACGTATCACTCGGCCATTCTCAATTTCGAGACGCTTTTTTCATTGTATAAATTTTGTGGATGGCAAGGAAGCGTGACATGCACATTAGGCTTATAACAAGGTGTTAATCGTTCTTATTCAGGTGTGACCAATGCATATATATATATATATATATATATATATATATATATATATATATATATATATATATATATATATATATATATATAGCAAATATATGGATATAGATCCGACAGTATGAAGAAAAATATACGGAAAAAACAAACAAAAATCCTAATATGCAATTATGCTGCTTTAATGTTAATATAATGTCAACGTCGGACGTTTCGGTCTAATAGACCATCTTCAGGACATATTCATAAAACATAATTAACATAGACCATATTCAATTTAACATGAAAAAGACGATGGACATAAAAGCAAGACCAATCCAAACGGATAACTGAAATCTTTTATAAGATCGGCGTTCCGTTTAAATATTTTTCTTCATATATATATATATATATATATATATATATATATATAACCGGACCGACAAGTGTTTAAACTGAAAGCCGACAACACCTGCCTCATATAATAACAGTATATAGTCAATTTGTTTTAAACTTACCTACAATTCATTTGTCCTTTTATAACCCCAACAAGCCCATTGTTTATTGATGAACAGTAAAGTCGAGGCACTCCTTTCCATGAATAAATGTTAATATTTTTCCAGGTGTGACCACAAGACCAGCAAGCCCATATATATATATATATATATATATATATATATATATATATATATGTGATTTGTTTATAATATATATGTAGATCTTGTTTCATGGTCGGACTGTTGACAATTAATCCAGGCTCCACATCTCGTCTCATTACAGTGTAAATGCATGCAAATGTTGGCTAGCAACTCGCTAGTCATAAAAAAAAAGAACAAGAAAAAAAAGGAGGTGAACTTCTGAATGAGTGCTAACAGTTAGGTAGCGTTTGCGCAAGAAAAGAACGAAACACATACACACACACACTGCCATGAATTTGTTTCTAGAACGGAGACTCTTCGACTATTAGTGTTTATCTTTTCCTCATAGATATGTTAAAGGAACGGAATCATACTTATTATAAAGCCCAGGTTGTCTGTGTGTGTGTGTGTGTGTGTGTGTGTGTGTGTGTGTGTGTGTGTGTGTGTGTGTGTCTGTTCGTTTATATATTGGATCGGATTTCCTACATTTTTCAACCGATTTCAACAAAACTTCACAGGACTACGTAAAATTACCTTGCGTTGGTTCTGACAGCGCCAAAAATTGGAAAAAACACAATTGTTTTTGCATGAAATCAATTTGAAAACACGATTAAGAGGCATCGCTGTCGAGAATGAAAGGGGGACAACTCATATCGAGTTATACTTATTATAAAACCCAGGTTGTGTGTGTGTGTGTGTGTGTGTGTGTGTGTGTGTGTGTGTGTGTGTGTTCGTTTATATATGGGATCGGATTTCCGACATTTTTCAACTGATTTCAACAAAACTTCACTTTTTTTTGGCAGGGAGTGTTTCTTATTGTCTTGCACACTTTTTTCTTTATTTTTACATTCAGAATGCTTTAAAAATTCCATTTAAAAGACAATTGTTTATAATAAAATTCTATTCAATCGTTAGACTCATAACGATTGAAAACAATCTTTGTTTGAGTTTGGGTTTGACCAATTCGTAAAAAAAAAAAAAAAAAAAAAAAAAACTAATTAAGACATGCGTGTCCGTCAACCTTAAACAATAATCTTTGTCAATTTTATTTCTCAGTCTTTATGATGGTCGATACTTGATCTATCTCTTACTGTTACATTCCCGGGCAACGCCGGGATCTACTGCTAGTAAAGAATAATTGCGTTAGCGTAATACCTTTTATCATGGCTGCCGATGTCGCGCTCTGGAAGATAACATTAAAACGAAGTAACAGAATGGACAATACCAGGAAGATGTCCATTGGGAGAGGCGCTTATGGCTCTAGCTCAAAATCTATGACACGCTGAAAATGTACATAAAAAAAAAAAATCCTGTAAAATGGAAAAGTGCGTTTTCTCCTTTGGTCGCCGAATTTTCTTCCATTTTCTCTCCCTTTTCTCTATTAAGGCCCAATCTCTCGTCCCTGCGCGTTTAGGTGAATAATCAACAACAGGGATAAAACTTACTTGATCATCAGCCATTTTACTTCCGATCTCGCCCATTCTTTCCCCGGACCGACCATTTCTTCTCAGTGCAACACAAGAATGACCAGCTAATCGCGAAACCCTATCCTCGACTCGAAAAAAAAGCCCTACCAACTTTTAGAAATTATTTTCATGTGTTGTATTCACCCCAGAGTCACGAGAAATAACGAGCCTGACCCTATCGACCCCATTTCATTGGTACTGTTCTTCTGTAGAGGTTAGGGCAACGGGAGGTGAAGACAAACGCAGCTGATGGAGCGTTTCTTTGCGTGTGACTGTTTACAGCCATCGATGTTTGGGAGGGGTGTATGTGTAATGGCGACCGTCAAGAGACGTCACCGCCGCAACCGCTCGAACCTTTCCCAGTCCCGTTCCAGTATTTCAGGAAAATGGTTTCTTTCTTTCTTTCTTTCTTTCTTTCTTTCTTTCTTTCTTTCTTTCTTCCTCCCGTTTTTTATATTAAAAAGGAAAAAAAAATAAATAAAGGAAAGAGTCTGTTTCTGGTTAGTCTTCTCGTCTTTTGTATCAATCCTCGCGCATGCGCATACTGAACGAGAACAGCTGCGGGATCAGGGAAGCGTGAAGTCATTGGACGTGTATTGTTGTCCCGAAAAGCAAAATCTTGTGATTCCATCTCGAAGAATAAACGGATCTTGATGTTGTTTTATTTATTTAACGATTTATATTTCATGACCATTATTCACATTTTCCTCTCAACCAGCGCGGTTAACTTCTCTCTTATTATCTTACTTCTCTTTCGATCTATTTCTTTCTTTCTCTTTGAGAAAGAAAGAAAGAAAGAAAGAAAGAAAGAAAGAAAGAAAGAAAGAAAGAAAGAAAGAAAGAAAGAAAGAAAATAGACTGTATAAAACGAGGAAGAAAGATTTAGGGTAAAAATAAAGAAAGCAAGAGCCAACGTTAAAAAAGAGAGAAAGAAAGAAAATAGTAGAGAGAATAAAAAAGAAAGAAAGGTTCAGTTAGGGAGAAAATGAAGAAAGAAAGAAAGAAAGAAGGAAAGAAAGAAAGAAAGAAAGAAAGAAAGAAAGAAAGAAAGAAAGAAAGAAAGAAAGAAAAAGATAGTGCATGGAAAATAAAGATTTAGTCAGAAAAGAAAGGTAAGTTTAAAAAGAAAGAAAAAAGAACCACAGGATGAAAGAAATAAAGATTTAGAGAGGGGTAGAAACAAAGAAAAATTAAAAACGGTTTAGATAGAAAGAAAGAAAGTTGGTAAAAGAAAGAGAAATTTTAGTAAAGAAAGAAAACAAGAATTAGGACCATAATATTTAGAGTCCAATGGTTTTGGTAACTTGAAAGAAAGAAAGAAATTTTAGTAAAAAAAGAAAGCAAGATTTCTAGTTTCATTACTAGCAGAGTTTCAAAAATGGTTTTAAACATAGAATAATATTATTCTAATTTAGTTTTATGATAATTCTTATTTTTTACTGCAATTATTTAAAGATTTTTTGTAGCTTTGTATAATACGCACCCCTGATTTTGCTTATTATTTTTTTTCCGAAAATGCGTATTATACATGAGGAATTACGGTAAAGTGAAAGTAAAAAGGAAATAGAATAAATGTCGATTGAAGATCTTACTTCAAACTTCAATATTTCCTGCTGTTTCATACTTTTGTGTATTGTACGTCTCGCTCTCTGTTACTCACACGCTCGCTCTATTTACTCTCTCTCTCTCTCTATATATATATATATATATTTCTCTCTTTATCTCTCGTACTATCTCTCTCGTTTTTTTTCTCTCTTTCTTTCTCTCTCTCTCTTTTTTCTCTCTCTCTATTTCTCTCTCTTTTCTCGCTCTCTCACTTTCTCTCTTTCACTCTCTCTTTCTCGCTGTTTTTCTCACCCCCTCTTTCTTTCTCCCTCTTTCTCTCTCTTTCTTTCTCTTTCTTTTGTTTCTCTCTCTCTCTCTCTCTCTGTCACTTTCTCTAATTCACAATTTCTCTTTCTTTCTCTCTTCCTCTCTGTATGTCTCTCTCTTTTCTCGTTTTCCAGCCATACATTTTCTTTCCTTCCTATTACTTTCTTTTCATTCCTTCTTTCCTTCAAGCTTTCTCTTTCTGATCTCTCAATCTCTTAAAACCAAAAATTTTATCTTAAATTATAAAAAAATTACCAACAATAAAAATTTTGTCGTCATTTCCCATTTCTCTCTCGAATTTTCTTTCTTTCTCTTTTTTAAAAAAATCAAAATCCTTCGTCATTAAATAACCTTCTCAAACCAACTCGAATCAATTTCTCTCTCTCTGTCTTTTATCTTAAATTATAAAAATATTACCCTCTCTCATTAAATAACCCAAGATTTGATAAAAACAAACCAGTTAATCAGTTTCTTGATGTAAAGATGAACATCCTTAAGAAAGGCCATCAAAAATAATATTATGTTAAATTTTCCAGCAATAAAAATTTTGTCTCCCATTGATGTTGAATCAAAACAAACCAAGAAAAAAAACAAAAAGGATCGAATCAGTTTCTTGATGTAAAGATGAACATCCTTAAGAAAGGCGCCGTACTTGGCTTAAACTTTATTATGTTAAATTAAAAAATATTACCAGTAATAAAAATTTTGTCGTCATTAAATAACCCATTGAGATGTTGATATGCCGTAAAACAAAACAAACCAAACCAAACAACTAAAGGATCGAATCAGTTTCTTGATGTAAAAGATGAACATCCTTAAGAACATACCTAATATTATGTTAAATTATAAAAATATTACCAGTAATAAAATTTGTCGTCATTAAATAACCCATTGAGATGTTGATATGCCGTAAAACCAAACCAAACCAAAAAACCTACGAATTTTCTTGATGTAAAGATGAACATTAAAACCAAAAAAAATAATATTATGTTAAATTATAAAAATATTACCAGCAATAAAAATCTTGTCGTCATTAAATAACCCATTGAGATGTTGATATGCCATAAAACAAAACAAAACAGTTTGACATAGAATTTATCAACACCACCTCTAAAACAATAAAACATCTAGTTGGCATTCAACGAGGTATCAACAACGACAGAACAGTGCAAGAGATGTGCAAAATAGACTGCACAAAATGCCCATTGATCTCGATACCTTAAAGTATATATTATACGAACAGTGCAAATATATTTTGTGTAGCAGCCATTAGAACACATTTGTGATTCATCGTAAGAGATCTGACCACGATTTCAACCTACTTCCAGTCTAATCAGAAGAGAATAGGATTTACTGAGAAAGAAAATATATTGAGAGTGCACTGATCTCGCAGTTCTCAACAATAAATTCAAGACTAGGACCACACTTAATATCATCGATTATCGGAAAGTAATAGTATGATGCGGTGTATGTAATGGTGGACAAAAAGACAGGGATCTACTTCTTGTAACCCTGATTTAAAAACCCACACACCCCAAGAGCTCTAATATCTATGTATGTGTGTGCATGTATGTAAATGTACGTATATGGATAAATGCATATGCATGTATGTATATATGTGCGTGTATATATATATATATATATATATATATATATATATATATATATATATATGTGTGTGTTTGCGTATGTGTAGGCAAATAAGCCATCCCAATGCGACCCATAATATCAAGGAAAACAGCGACCCACAAACTAATGAAAATAGCTCTAACATATATATATATATATATATATATATATATATATATAAATATATATATATTAAAAAAAACAGACCACTTTAAGGTTCCATTATAATAATTTATTTCACCTGAGCCCTTTTAAAGGACACCGGATCATCAGTTAGCACTTCTAAAAATTTACATTGAGCTCTCAGGATTTCATCTTTGTTACTATCCATACGGATTACCAAGATTTTCATAACTTAAATATATAGAGAGATCCACGAAGGTGTATCGAGGTCTGGACGTTCCTAGACTGCTACAACAGAAAAAAAACGTTGATTGTGTTCACCACATGGTGATGAATGTCAGGCGATTAACTATAAATAAAATGATCAACGCTATTAACATATCCTGTGAGAGAGTTGAGAATATTCTGCACAATGAACTTGGCATAACGAAGGTTTCTGCTCGGTGGGTGTCACGTCTTTTGACATCTGATGAAAAGCGCACCAGGCTGACCACATCACAGTAAAATCTGATATTGTTTAAGGTAGATCCAGATGGTTTAGTTGAACGTTTCCTCACCCAGGACCAGTGATGAAGCATTCCATGCCGTGGAAAACGCTGTCATCACCTGCTTCAAAGAATGTCATTTCATCTTCAGTAAATTTGATGGCCTCAGTTTTTTTTTTTTTTTTTTTTTGTGGGCAAAAGATATTTTTATTGACTATGTTCAAAAGGATCCCACCATCAATGGAGAGTACTATACCAACTTCCTGAGGCAGTAACGAAAGCCTATCAAGACCAAACGTTCAGGAAATGCTCCAGTTCACAGATTTTTAGTTTAAATCGTTGTCGTGCGTAACTGTGACGTTTAATTTCTCTGTTAATTTTGCCGCATCTGACTATCATCTGTTCTTCAACGCACAAAAAAAAAACACTTGTCTCGAAACTACTACCGCATTGATGATGACGTCATATCAGCTGTTGATGACTTATTTAACCAACAGCAAGAAAACTTCTTCATCAATGGGCTTCAAGCACTGCAACACCGCTGGAAGAAGTGTGTGGACTGCAAGAAAATATAAAGCATAAATAAACCATATTTGGTCACACTCCTTGAAATCGTTTTGGTCAGGCTATGAACTTTTCTAGCCGACCCTCGTATTGCGAGTCGCAGCTTATTTGGCACCTGAGAGAAAGATTTTTCTTTTTCTTATTTCTTTTTTATACTCCGCTAATAGCTCCAGTGTAGCGCGCGTGCGGCCCCGGACATGTAAAGGCATCACAGACCTGTTATCGCTGCGCCTCGTGTGGCTTTCTGCCACCCGTCCGTCTAAGAAGTGCGCGAGAAAAACGATCCAGACTCGGGCGTAATGAACTCCGAGCCCGCCGTTGAATAAACACATACATCGGCGCAGTAGTTAGCAGAGTCTCGTTCGTTATCGGAATCAACCAGAAAGATCGCTTCACCAATTCACTATCAGCAAGTCCCCACAAAAAAATAATTTTTCAGTTCTTTTAAATTCTTTTCTGAAGATTTCGGACTATATTTCCGAGGAGTTCACACTCAGTATTATTTTTATTCTTTTTTAACGAAATAGCACCTTTGGGGATTTAGCTTTGTAAAAATAAAAACATTAGGAAGATACAAAATTCACTCGTAAGAATTATTAACGATCTGTCTATATTTCTGAGATGAGGTATTATGTACACTATTTACATTGTTCGGACTATCATCCTCATCTTTGTCGCCATATTTATTATCATATTTTCTGTGGATCGGGTCCGTAACGATTCTCCAGTATCTGTCTATATTTCTGAGATGAGGTATTATGTACACTATTTACATTGTCCATTTCACTATTGTCCTCATCTTTGTCGCCATATTTATTACAACGTTTCGGCCTTTCAGTATCTGTCTATATTTCTGAGATGAGGTATTATGTACACTATTTACATTGTCCATTTCACTATTGTCCTCATCTTTGTCGCCATATTTATTACAACGTTTCGGCCTTTCAGTATCTGTCTATATTTCTGAGATGAGGTATGATGTACACTATTTACATTGTTCGGACTATCATCCTCATCTTTGTTGCCATATTTATCACAAAATTTCGGCCGTTATACGCTCCGACCTTCTTCAAGTGGCTGGTATGTCGAACTGAACCCTTTATTTCGCTCACTGGGGTTTACTGTTCTAATTCCACGTGCCATGTCTAATGGTTGTCAGTTATCAGTTATCTCCTGTTAATTCCCCTCTCCAAGTTCTCCACCGCCTTAACCAGGTATTGAACTCACACTCTTTGGGTCCTGTCACTGGGTCTAACTAATGCTTTATCCACTGTGTCATGTATCCTTGAGGACATCTGTGGATGAATTCCTGGTTGTGATAAACCTAATGTCTTCATTTTTACCAGTGCTCATATTGCAATTTTTGCTGTTATCATTTTATGTTTTTTTACCAGAGCTCATATTGCAATTTTAGTTATTATTGCTTGTCTCTGGCATTGCTTATTACTGGTTTCCATATTGTATTCATTTCTATGCTTGGTCGGCTAAGAAGATTTTTGTGGCCTAGTATATGATTCCTTAAGTTTATGAATTTTCAAATGATGTTCTTTGTCTATGATTTCAACCTGATCCTACAGAGGGCGGTGTTTTCCCTTTTCTCTCCATATGTGGTCAGCCACGCCTGATTTTTCCACTTACCCTTGTGTTACATCTTTCTGGTGTTCTTGAAGCCTTACCTTGAGGGGGCGGCCTGTCTCCCCTTTATATTTCTTTCCGCAGCTGCACGGGATAGCGTACACACAGTTTTTAGTCATGTTCTCCTCTATGGGGGTGGTCTTACTCGGGAGAGATATCTGCGAAGTGTCGTCCAGCTTTTGAAGGTAGTCCTGATGTTATATGGATCACTGAGCCTTTGTATTTTCTCTGATAACCCCTTCACATAAGGCAGGAAGACTGTTTTCTGATTATTGTTGTCCTCCTATTGTACCCGCCTATCCCAGTTTATTGGCGCTGCTGACAGGTACCCAGGGTAGTTGTTACGTTGTAGGGTACTGCTTATACTGACCAATTCTTTATCTAATGTCTTTGGGTCGCCACTTATGACTTTTGCTCGGTGTCTTTACGCTGTATGAAGAAGGCCGGAGCGTACAACGGCAGAAACGTTGTGATAAATATGGCAACAAAGATGAGGATGATAATTCGAACAATGTAAATAGGGGTTCGTAAGGAGTTAAATAAAGGGTAAGCATAACTGACCTGGAAACTTACTTTCTGTTTTCTATTTTTTAATCATTTTATCCCAAGCAAGGTGCACATGCCACTAGTACGCAGGAGATTACAGAGAGTGAAAGTGGGAGACTGGATTTAGGGTGGTTGATGAAAGGATAAAAGATGAACGGGATTTAAAAAGACAGAAGATGGCGATTAACGTTCAATTTAAATTTTTGGAAAGTTCAGAGAAACAAGGAACCGGGAGGGAATTCCACAGGTGCGAAGTGCGAGAAAAGAAAATCTTCGAGTTAAAGTAACGGTTGCAGTTACCTATTTCAACAGTAAAAGGATGGGTGCTAAATGCCAATCTAGTAGTACGCTTAAATTCATATAATCTGTGCAACAGGAAAAATGGTTCCACAAAACTGAAAGAAAAACACAATATAATAGTCCGTCACTAATGAATAATTTTCCCATTTCTTTTTAATCATTTCACCCCACGCAAAGTGATAATGCCACTAAGACACAAGGGGCTACTGAAAATGAGAGAATGCGAAGACTTTAGTGAGGAGAAAGGAGAATAAAAGAACAGGTTTCAATATGGCAGAAGATGACGATAATGCCACTAAAACACAAGTGGTTACTAAGAGTGAAAGAGAATGAGAAGACGTTAGTGAGGAGAAAGGACAATAAAAAAAAAAGGTTTTATGAAGACAGTAGATGGCGATAATGCCACTAAGACGCGAGGGGTTACTGGGAGTGAAATAGAATGAGAAAACTTCAGTAAGGAGAAAGGACAATAAAATAACAGGTTTCAGGAAGACAGTAGATGGCGATAATGCCACTAAGACATGAGGGGTTACTGAGTATAAAAAAGAATGATAAGATTTTAGTGAGTAGAAAGGACAATAAAAAAACAGGTTCAGGAAGACAGAAAATGGCGACAATGCACTAAGATGCGAGGGGTTACTGGGTGTGAAAGAGAATGAGAAGACTTTAGAAGGAACCGGAAACGCAATCCTAAACAGGAAACACGCGATAAAACTTTACTTCTATTCAAAAGACCGGGGAGAAATAGGTACCCGAGGTAAATATTAAAAATAGGAGGGGGGGGTCGATTTTTTTTATCACGTGTCGAAAGTATGCATGATTTTGGAAGTACCTAGAAAGAGAAAAAGTCTTCTAGTTAACTGGACAAGGAAAATGGATATTACAGAAATACTTTTGATTTCCTTGGCACATTTGAGATATTATTTTAGGACATGTGTATATATGTATATTTATGTATACGTATATGGATGTATGTATGTGTAGATTGATGGACATATATGTAGATGGACGTATATGTAGATATGTATATATATGTGTGTGTATGTTTTGGTATGTATGTACTCATATATATTTGTATATGGGAGTATATGTACGTAGATATATGTGTATATATAGTTAGACGGATAGATATAGGGATACATTGTCTATTTGTTTAAATAATTATATAGAAATGTAAGGTTTTAGGTATATATGTTTATGTGTACGTATGTGTATATCCGTATGTATATATGTGGGTAAATGTGTATATATATATGAAGGACTGGATGCGGATGGATGTATACGTGTATATATGCATGTATGTGTGTGTATGTATTTTTTGTATATTTTTATATCTTTGGTTTATATATATATATATATATATATATATATATGTGTGTGTGTGTGTGTGTGTGTGTGTGTGTGTATGTATGTGTGTATGTGTATGTATATGTGTGTGTATGTGTGTATAAGTAAGGGTGTGTGTATATATGTATGTATGTATATGTATATATATATATATATATATATATATATATATGTATATGTGTATGTATGTATATGTGTATGGATGTGTATGTGTGCATACACACATATACACGTATGTGTATGTGCGTGTGTATGTATATATGTGTGTATGTATGTATATGTATGTATATATATATATATGTGTGTGTGTGTGTGTGTATATGTGTATATATGGGTATGTGCATGTGTGCATGTGTATGCGTGTATTTGTATGTGAAAAGTGTGTGTATATGGATATAGATGAATATGTGCATGTGTGGATATGTGAATATATTTTTATATTTTTATATGTGTGTACATGGGTATATGTATGTGTGTATATGGGTACGTAAGTGTATGTATATACATGTATGTGTTATTGTGTATATTCGCATGTGTTTTTGAACATAGAAATATAGGTCCTTGCTGCATTAGATAATCGTTATATTTATCTTCATATATTTATATTTGATTTGTAATCTGTAGTCGATATTAAATTTGTCAAATTTTCTCAATTACAAAGCGGCCCTTTAAGTAAACGCAATTTTACTTTCCTTCGTCCCATCTCTCTCCCCCACCTCTTCTTTCCCTCCCTCTTATTCTAACATTAGATCGTCTATGGTGTGTGTATGTCACCACGAAATGTATCTTTATGCATTAGACATCCGACAACATTCATTTTTCTCTTACTTAAACCCCTTCCACCCACCTCTCCTAAAATTCTCTCTGTTAAGATTCAATCTCCCTCCTCCTCATACTTACACTCTCTCTAAATTCTGTTTTTATTTCCGGAGTTGTTTTTTCTGTTTTCTTTTTGAATTTGTAGGTCTGATGAATTGGATCGTATTTACGATTCCAATGGAATAAATTATGACCATGGAATATTAGTGTTTAAGCCTTTTTATTATATCCTTACTCTGTCCTGGACATTGAGTTCTACCTGGATTCTATACTCTTGGAATTTTTTTTATACAAAATATATATGTATGGATATTTATATATTTTGCATATGAATGTATATTTTCCACTAATATTATCTATCTATCTATCTCTCTCTCTCTCTCTATATATATATATATATATATATATATATATATGAAAATTTCTCAGAGTTAAACTGTAGAAAAGACAATATTTTTAAATATAAATGACAATAGGAAAACTGCCGTTATTGCTGACGCGTTTCGTCCAATGTGGTCTTTCTCAAATTCAAAAATCGAAATGAATTTATTTAAACAAAGTAACTATTAGTAAAAAAACAAAATGTTCTTAGTAACTGGAAGAATTTAGAGAACGCTATTTTTTTATTTTGATGCTAATGACAGTCAATGAGAAACTTGTGAAGAAATAATAGTTTTTTTCTGAAATTTTCTGTTGATTGGTCCCCTCCTGGTAGAGAACCGCTGTTCTACGAGTCTGCGATCAACAGTTGCATTTCCTACATTCATAATCTGCACTTCATTCCTCCTCCTCTTGCGTTCTCACAACGAGTGAATCAGTAACCCTCTATATTGAGTGGCTCTTGAGCCTTAACATTTAATTTTTAAAAAAAATCATATTCTTTCGAGATCCGTTCACTCTTTCTTTCTTTCTTTCTTTCTTTCTTCCATTCAGAATTTCCCAATTTTTATTCTTTCTTTCTTTTCTTTCCTTCTTTCTTACCTTTCTTTATTTCTTTTTTTTTCTTTCTTTCTTTCTAGATTTCGTTTTATTTGTTTTCATTTTCACTACGTCCTCTCTCTTCATTTTTTCTTTCTTTCTGTCTTTTCTTTCTTTCTTTCTTTCTTTCTTTCTTTCTTTCTTTCGTTTCTTGCTTTCGTTTTATTTTTTCTTCATTTTTAATTCTTCATTTACAAATTCCTTTTTCTTTCTTTTCCTTCTTTACTTCTTTCCTTTCTTTTTTTATATCTCGATTCTCTTTTCATTTTTACTTCTTTCTACCATTTTTTTCTCAGCTTTTTCAAAACTTCAAGATTCAACTTGCAAATTTTCCTTCCTATTTCTTTCTTTCTTTCTTCCTTTCTTTCTTTCTTTCTAGATTTCTAGATTTCTAGATTTCTAGTTTCCTGACTTTTCCATATTTTTTCCTTGTTTCTAGATTTCTTTATGTCTTATTTTCTTTCTAAATTTATTTCTAGATTTCTATATCTATCTCTAGATTTCTAGATTTCGTTCTTTCTAGTTTCCTGACTTTCCAAGATTTTTTCCTTGTTTCTAGATTTCTTTATGTCTGATTTTCTTTCTAAATTTATTTCTAGACTTCTATATCTATCTCTAGATTTCTAGATTTCTTTCTAGATTTCTTCCTCTATTTGTTGCCTTCTAGATTTCTTACTTTCTAGATTTATTTTTCCTGTATTTCTTTCTAGACTTCTTACTTCCCTAGGCTACTTTCCAGATTTCACTCTTTCTGGATATCCTGTTTTTCTAGATTTCTTTCTTTCTAGATTTCTTTCCAGATTTCTTTCTTTCTAGTTTCCTGACTTTTCCAGATTTTGTCCTTGTTTCTAGATTTCTTTATGTCTTATTTTCTTTCTAGTTTTATTTCTAGACTTCTATATCTATCTCTAGATTTCTAGATTTCTCTCTAGATTTCTATTTGTTGCCTTCTATAATTCTTACTTTCTAGATTTATTTTTTATTGTATTTCTTTCTAGACTTCCTACTTCCCTAGACTACTTTCCAGATTTCACTCTTTCTGGATATCCTGTTTTTCTAGATTTCTTTCTTTCTAGATTCCTGACTTTTCCAGATTTTGTCCTTGTTTCTAGATTTCTTTATGTCTTATTTTCTTTCTAGTTTTATTTCTAGACTTCTATATCTATCTCTAGATTTCTAGATTTCTCTCTAGATTTCTATTTGTTGCCTTCTAGATTTCTTACTTTCTAGATTTATTTTTCCTGTATTTCTTTCTAGACTTCTAGGCTACTTTCCAGATTTCACTCTTTCTCGATATCATATTTCTCTAGATTTCTTTCTTTCTAGATTTCCTTCATTCCGGACTTCTTTCAAATTAAAACTCCGAACAAACGAAGAAACATGAAGAAATGTATAAGTCAACACTTTGCTGAGGAACAAATTTCAAATTCCATATTTCACGAGCAGAGAACTTAAAGCATTGTTCTATATAATTTAACCCCAACCTAACACTTAAAAATAAATAAATAAGTAATAAGGAATCATGAAATATATTTAAGAAAGCTCAATGGAGAAATTATTTTATTTCTTTTTAAATGAAAGGAAAAAATAATTGTTATTGTCATTCTGAAAAACCACATAAGAATAACTTTTTTTTTTTATTTTGTGCTTAATGTTTGGCGCGAAGAATTTTAACTGAAATTAATAAAAATCAAAGGTAATTGTCGAAAATGTATTTCATAATATGCAATGCTTAATTTATAAGATATGCCATTGTTATTAATTTATTCACACAAGTCAGTGGAGCGCGTTTTGAGCCCAAAAAATTATAACCATTTTAAAGTAATTTATTGTCACTGAGTTGTATTGTTATTAATAGCAGTAAAATACATTGACAAAATCGAAAATAATTCAACCAAGTATTGTCAGAGTTATAAACTAAATAAATGTACGTCAGTAAATAAATGTTTATAATTAATATATATGTATAAAACTATATATATATATATATATATATATATATATATATATATATATATATATATATATATATAGTTGGATTGATGCTTGTGACCCAGGGTTTCACGGTACTTGCGATTTGTCTGACGATCGCACATAGCGTGAAACGCAGGGTCACAAACTCACATCAATCTAACCAAATATGTTAGCTCTATCACTGATATTGAGCTCGAGTAAGTCCAGCGCATATATAATATATAAATAATGTATATAAGAAATTACAAATTAATTAAATATATTTATACACATACACATTTTACATATACATATATATATATATACATATATATATATGTGTGTGTGTGTGTGCGCGCGTGTGTGTGTGTGTGAAGAAATATAGTCTTAAGATGTGCTATATTTATGGGATAACGTGTTCAATATCAGAGATATAGCGTGTGTAAATATAAAAGTGAACATAGAAGTTAACACTTAGAGGCGACAGTCTGTTTCATGCTATATGCAATCGTCAGGCCACCTGACGATTGCATATAACATATAACCTGACGATTGCATATAGCATGAAACAGACTGTCGCCTCTAAATGTTAACTTCTATGTTCACTTATATATATATATATATATATATATATATGACAATAGGAAAACTGTAGTAGTTGCTGACGCGTTTCGTCCAATGTGGACTTTCTCAAAGCAAAAAACGAAATGAATTTTTTTAGAAATTTCAGATTTTTTTTCTTTATTGATTTACAATACTCTGGTCATTACCTAGACGGTAATACCACTCGGAAATACCAGTCGTTATAAGCTTGGATGTGCGGGTGGTGAAATAGATAATGGCTCGGAATTGTTCATCGGTGAGCCGAGTTCTAATTCCAGTTGGGTTTATTATATTCACTTACGCGCAAATAAACTTGGGAATGGTATGAATTCATCTCTTCCCGTCTCGGCTATGAATTAATTAGTAAAACTTGTATCACTAAACCATAATCATCTAAAAAAATAAATTATTACCCTCTAAAGATATTTTCTGGCTTTAAATAACCTGTAATGGGTTGTTAAGCCGTCAAAAACCAAACAATAACATAGCATTTTATTAAACCTTTTTTGTTTATTGAAGAATGCTTCAGTTTATTTATTTAATTATTAGTTACGAATTAAAACACATTAGATTAATTTGTTGTTGCCATTTCCAGCTTCATATTTAGCTGAATGTGGCTTTAGTACAGTAAATAATTAAGAGGAAGCATGGTGGAGTAAAGATCTTAGATGAGGGTGAATGGAATCTCTCTGAGCCTTGGTTGCCAATCCATTTAGTGATGGTGTCACGATAAAAACACCCTTGATAGCCCTAGCGAAGCATCAAGAATTCAGCTATTTGACAAGATTGAACTACACCAATCAAAGTATTGAAGATAAGGAATACTGGAAAGGTGTAGTGAGTTCAATCTCGGCTGAGGCCGAAAGATGATGACTGTAAATAATTTGTTATTGAATAAAAAAAAACCGACTTGATATCACAAAACGAGGAGACTTGAGGCTTAAGCTGCCTAAATCGATGCCTAAAATAAAATCTATCTGTAACAGGCATGACGGACAAGGATCTCATTAACAGTCATTTTGTGATGAGCTCAAATTTTATTTTGCATTATTATTTCATCAATAAATTGATCAAAGTATATTACAGAATAATTTTTCATTCAAATGTTTAATATTTCTGTCTTTCACTTCTCTATTATATATTTTGAAACTATATACATTTAACTGGCTTTTTGTTTTTTTAATTTTTCTCTTTCATGGACGCCATTGTTTTTCGAAGCTTGTTTAGAGACCAAGTTGACATTACATTTGAATAATTGGAGATTATAGCTATCAGGGGAAAAAGAAAAGGGGAAGAAGTTCCACAGGCGAGATGTGCAAGACATGAAGATATTGGAGTAGAAGAGACAGTTACATTTAACAGTTGCGACAGTGAAAGTGTGAGAGTGGGATGCCAGCCTAGTAGAACGCTTAAATTCATGAAGTCTGGGAACCAGCGAAAGCCGCTCATCGATTGCAGTTACCGTGTTAGTATTTGTAAAAAAAAAAAAAAAAAAAAAGAGGGAGGCGACGGCACGTCTGTGAGAGAGTAACTGTAGACGAGATGCCAGATCAGGGCCAATTACATTGCACATCCGTCTCTGGATTTTATCAAGGACCTTGAGAAAAACAGAAGGTTCTCTAGGCTGTTGGAATTTTTGGGTACCCTGGTGTACTAGTGAGCCAGCGAAAATGAGCTGATTTATTTTATAGTTCACCAATAGAAGGGTTAACCAATCAGAAGGCTCAAAATATTCAATGCGACGTGTATAAAGGCGGCCATGTTTTTTTCCCCGTATATGCACTGCCAGCCTTTGATATCGAAGACCGAAGAATTACATAACAACTGCTGGTGCTATTGGCGATATAGTCAGATTCAGTAGAGTGTCTGACTCGTGAGTATTAATCTTTAACGTTGTTTCATTGAACAGATTACGTACTGCGCTGTATTCTATATTCATAGACAATGGTGAACATGGTTAACACAGGCAATATATGGCAGCAATACTCCATGCAAGGACGAATGGTTGATTTGTAGATTTGAAGGATCGATTCCGGGGAGAAAAATTTCCTGGCGCGGCACAGGGAGCCAACTTTCCTTGGGCTGGACGAAGCTACATACTTGAAGAAATGAAATAGAGAAAGAGAAAGAGAGATAGGAAAAGGAAGGTAAAGTAGGTGTAAATGGAAGGAGGGGAACATGTTTTCATCCTGTACAAGGCCCAAGAGCTACTCGAGGTAGAGCGTTACACAGTAAAAAGAACTATTTATGAGGATATGTGGGGAATCCTAGGTAAGAACAGGTTATGATTGTAGTGATCGATGAAACATCCTCATTGGAATCGGTTTCGCAAAGTCAAAAGAGAGAGAGAGAGAGAGAGAGAGAGAGATAGAATGAAAGGGAGAGAATGAGAGAAACAAGGGAAAAGAGGGAATACAGAGAGAGATGGAACTATAAAATAAGAGAAAGAGAGGACGTGAAAGTGAGAAGCATAGAAAAAAAAACAAGACAGAAACAGAGAATAGAGAGAGAGATGAAGAGAGAGAGAATGAAAGGGAGAGAAAGAAAACAAGGGAAAAGAGGGAATACAGAGAGAGATGGAACTATAAAATAAGAGAAAGAGAGGACGTGAAAGTGAGAAGCATAGAAAAAAAAAACAAGACAGAAATAGAGAGAGAGAGAGAGAGAATGAAAGGGAGAGAATGAGAGAAACAAGGGAAAAGAGGGAATACAGAGAGAGATGGAACTATAAAATAAGAGAAAGAGAGGACGTGAAAGTGAGAAGCATAGAAAAAAAAACAAGACAGAAATAGAGAGAGAGAGAGAGAGCGAGAGAGAGGGTGG